ACAGAGTCTCTCGCTGAACCTGGAGCTCACTAATTCTTCTACACTAGATAGCCAGCAAGTCCCAGGGATCCCCTGGCTCCATTTCCCCAGTGTCGAGAGTCCTGGCATGCGCTGACCACTTGTCTACAGATGCTGGACATCAAACTCATGTGTATTTTACTAACCGGGTCACCTCAAGTCCCAATATCCATATATTACTTTCCTGTAAGCTCTCTCTTCCTCCCAATGGAATTTCAAACTCTGAAGGCAGGAAGTATGTATTATTTCCTTTTCTAGACCTTAAACCTTAAAGGGCAGTGATGCCTGAAGGGACAACACAAAAGGTAAATCATTCACCTCATTGGCTAACCCATTTGGCCTCAGAGAGCTGAGATTAGATTCTAAATAAGTGAAGGAGCAGAAGTCAGGCCGTGGCGCATGGCACAATAGTGAATGATTAGCAGACACTAGCTGTATCGGGGTCACTGAAGTCAGTGACAGAGGAGGGTTTTCTGTCAAGGTTTAAGCCGATCCTTGGCTGCTTCCTGTGTTTACTGTCGGTAATGAATGTTGATCAGTTGTCCCTCCGGGTGCTCTTCTTGGATGTGATAAAGCCAACACATCAGCAGTTCCTACGGCTCAGTTCTAAGAGGGCAAAAGTAATGGAAATGCTTAATATTAGCCTTTGGGGTAGGGTGTTGGCACTCCCCTGCCGATCAGTCTTAAAAGTGCACATTAACGATTTAGGTGTTTAGAAGGAAATGCAGAATTTTAAGTTCGAGTGTCAGCATATTTTATTCTCAAACCAATGCAATGAGGCAGATGTGGGTTTGTGCCTGAAGATGGCAAAACATGGAACTGGCTTGGCTAGGTGGAGCTAACAGGGTCCTCGAAGCCAGAGCATCCCTGTACCCTGGGGCTTCTCCTGCTCTTGATTTCTGACACCTGGGTAGTGGTGGTGGTCTCAGAGCACATCACTTCCAGCTCTGTGAGATTCATCACGATGCTACTGGAACGTTTGCTAGGAAAAACGCAGTCTCAGGCACTTCCAGGGAATGGTGGGTGAAACTGGGTGGGGTCTCTGCTTCTGGAGCTGTAAGGGAGGGCAGTAAGCCCACCAAAGCAACCTTTTCACAGGTTTTACATTTGCAGTATTGGGGACTAAACCCAAGGCCTTGTGCGTTTGAGGCAAACCTTCTACTACCAAGTCCATGAACTGATTCTACCAGCCCATGAGCCAACTTTTGTTAGGTCTTAGATTATTGCTTGAGTTGTAGTATGGCTATGCGTCTGCAGACATTTTGATCCTTGTTGGGGATGGCTTCACCGAGAAAAGGCCAGGAAGTGTCAGGCAGCATTCCATCAAAGCACTGACCTTCGAGAAAAACAAAACCAAAATAAAGCCCAAGCAAAAAACCGTCTCGCTAGGATAGTCAGGGAATGTCACCAAGACAATGAAGATTTCTTTCTGTGTCGCTCGGAATTCAGTGGCATCTGGGTCACAGGGAGTCGGGTCAGGGTTTCCTTGAATCCTTTACACTGAACACAGCACATCAAATGACAAAGGCCATGGGGGAGAGAATGTAGTATAAGGACTTTCAGAGGAAATAAACAGACTACCTGCTCAGTGATCTTCAGGGGGAAGGGAGAAGTATGGATCAAAGTCTACCACGTTAGGACCTAAGCTAGAAAGACAGAAAGGCTCAACAAGAATGGCTCAGGGGCTGTTGCAGCAAGTCCGTCAGTAGAGTGCTTGCCTAACCTGCAATGGAGTCCTGGGTTCCATCCGTAAACTGGGCCTGGTGGCGAATACCTGTAGTCTCAGCACTCAGGAGCAGAGGCGGGACCTTCAGACGCTCAAGGGCACCCTTAGCTACACCCTGAGTTCAAGCTGCCCTGTCTCAAAAGAGGAGGAGGAGGAGGAGGAGGAGGAGGAGGAAGAAGAATGGACCCCAACTTGATGGAAGAAAAAGGCACTTTAGGGGTTTAAGATGCCAGTGACAGAATCTCCAGCATTCTCCTTATAGCTCAGATTTAAGCACAGAGGAATTGACAGCCATAACTCCTAGCAGGTAAACCTCATTCACACCCTCGTATCTGGCTTTCCTGCAGGGACTGTTGTCATGACCAGCCGCGGAGACCAGCTCCCTTGCGGCAATCTTAGAACTGTTCTTCCAGCTTCCCAAACATGGACCCCTATTACCACAGAGCCCTGGGTTCCCCTGTAGAGATGGATAATGAAACTGAGAGAAGAAAGAAATCTGTGGAGTCAGACCTCACATAGCTGAGAGGTGTGGATGAAGGCTTCCATCCCGCCTGGTCCCCTCAGCCATGCAGTCTCAAAGAAACACACAGAGGCTCTTACTAATTTTAAACTAGCCAATGGCTCAGGCTTCTTATCGGCTAGCTCTCTCTTAATTACTAACCCATTTCTATTAAACTATGCATTGCCACGAGGCTGTGGCTTACCCGTAACGCTCCAAAAATGTAAATAGAGATCTTAATTGGTCGAAGTAATGAAAATGCAGAGTCAGATATAGAGGAAAATGTTGAGAGATCAGAGAGAAGGAGTAAACCACCACCACACCTTACCTCCTTAGCATCTCACCAGACAAGAGAGTGATTTCCTGTTTCTCCCTGCTTGCATCCGGTTTCCACCCAGCTACCTCACTTCCTGTCTGTCTGTACAGACCTCCAGCCCTCTGTGGTTAGCTAGAGGCACGCTCCATTCTCTGGCCTTCAGACAGGCTTTACTTGTACAAGCAAGATGTCACCACAAAGAAGGATTTTTTTTTAAAGCTGTATCTCCTTGGTGGTGAGGCCAAGGAAACCAGGAAGCCACCCTTGTCCCAGATCCTATCAGCTAAAACAGGGGAACTCTAGCTTTGCCCCTGAGCTCCCAAGGGTGCCAGGCAAGTTGCAGCAGCAACTGTAAACACATGCCTGTTCTCCTCTAGTGGCCAACAGACAGCTGCTGACACCTGGCACGTCCCTCAGGTGTGTTGGGCTGGCGTCTAGCTACTTGAAGAAACAAACCCTTGTTGTGCCTGGTCCAGCTCCTAACAGGGAGAAGATGTGGTAGCTACTTTTCCTGTTGTGGGGACAAAACATCTGGCAAAAGCAATTTGCAGGAGGAAGGTCGTTTTTGTCGTGGCTTGACAGCAGAGCATGGTGTTGGGGGTGTGGGAATTTGCTCTTCCTATTTTCTGTTACAATTCACATATTTTCAAACCAACCCCAGCTGAATATTTGAAACTGCCTCCTTTAGGAGGCTAGGGATGTTGTTCAGCGGGTAGAGTGCTTTCCTAGCATTCACGAAGTCCTGGGTCACAGAAACCGGGCACGACGGCCCGTGCCTGCAATCCTTAGCCCTTGAGGCGTGGGAGCAAGAAGATGGGAAGTCCAAGGTGAGGTGTGGCTGCAGGTTGAGTTCCAGACTAGTCTGAGCTATAATGGCTATATCTCAAAGAGAGAAGTAAAAAGAGAGAGGGGAACAGAATCCTGATTTAAGTGGGATTAACCTTTTGCTGATATTCTGTCAAGGGCGCTCTTTAAAGCTATACATGTGCCGTGTCACGGTCACTGCTATAAACAGAAGAAGGAAGGAGGAGGTGGAGGAGGCCACCAACCAGAAAAACAAGATTTTGCTAAGTCATTCTTACTCTGAGCTTTTCCAGGAGAACCCAGCGCTGGCTTTGCTGCGGTAGCCTCTCCTACTATCACGGACTCGGTTTGTTTCCAAGTTCCAACCAAGGAGGGCAAAGTCAAAGCACGCTCAGTGAGGACTTCTGCAGCTGAATGGGTGAGGGTGAGGGCTAGACCAGGGCACACACGTTGGGACAGAGTCTCCTGGTTTCCTCCATTCAGTATGAAACGCAAGACAATAGGTGACACGCTACAATGCTGGCAGGGACATCTAATTGCTCAAATGGGTACCAAGGAGACTGACTGCTCCCTGAAGTTCCGTTACAGATAACATATAAATCCGAGTGTACAGAGTGGAAACGTTGAGGCATGAGCCTCAGGTGGGATTCTTGAGACCTTGGGTGACTACTGGGTTTAAGGGCAACATCTCAACAGCAGCACCTGGAGCCAAGCACTGGCTAAGACATCCAGAAGAAGTAGGAAATCTGGCTCACGATAAACTCAGAAACAAAGGCTGGACCTGCAAAGAAGGGAATAAAGGACAGAGGTTGGGCTCAGAGAGCGGGAGGACCCTATGACCGACCGCCCATGCTGTATGGTTTGCGGTGTTCCCACGGGACAGAACTGACCGGTGCAGTCAGCTCATGAGCAACAATTAGGTCTTTCCCAGGAGCTTCTAGGAATGCTGCTGGCTAATAAGCGGCAGAGAACTAACTATAATCTTGTTAGTGGGTTATACTAGGACATTGCTTTTGGAGTTCAGCCACACACAGAGCTGCTTGTTAGGCAATTATTTATAAGCAAACAGGTATGACAACCGTCCCCAAGACCTAGTCTAACGAACTCTAGGAAGTACAAGCTCTCTGTACTCCCATGGGCTCTGACCACCTCTCATTTGTGAAGCAGGCTTGAGACCAGCAGAAATCCTAAGCAGACACATAGGACTTTTCAGAACCACACTCCGAGATCCAGCTCCAAGGAAGAAAACGGGCATCTTTCAACATTTTGCTTATGCTCCATACTTATGAGGTGTGGTGTACAATATTGCAGATAAATTGTTTCTGTCTAACACACATCTTAAATAATAGTGACTTGTCCATTTCTAGCCTGTGAAAATGTATCCATTCTTCCTGGAGTTGTTTACGAACCTCATGAGACCTTAAATAGAATTGAGTGATCTGGCTTACTTTTAGCTCATAATTTCCCTATCATCTTTACAGAGATACCCTCCTTCTCTGTCTTTGTGGCTGTCTCATTATGTCACCAGGGTTGGCTTATGACTCCTGTGCTCAAATGTTTCCCCTGTCCCAGCCTCCTGAGTGCTGAGAGTAAGGGCCACCAAAGACGCTGAAGTTCTAATTCCCTCACACTGTCTGTGACTGGGACTTCATTCAGAAACAAAGTCTTTGCAGTATGACCAACTCGATTAGGCTAGTCTGAAATCCACTGAAGGAAGCCACGGACTCACAGAGGAGATGCCCTGTGGAAAGGAAGACAATGGGGGAGTGACTATTCATACAGGACCAAAATATTGTCTCTCTGTGGGACTGTGCCTAATGATGTGTCTGACCATCCATCCATCCATCCATCCATCCATCCATCCATCCATCCATCCATCCATCATGTATCCATCTGTCTGTCCATCTATCTACTCCCTATTATTTGTTATAAATCTTTCAAACATTAAGTCCTATGATTTGGCTCAGATTTTAGTCTTAACAGAAGTTAGGTAGGCTAATTAGGAAGCCAAAGAGGGAATGGAGGGAAAGAAGGAAGAGAAAGACACTGATCTGCTGCTCCCACAAGTCCTGCGCCATCATTTCCCCAGCGTATCTTGAAGCCGGGGGAGGCTGTAGGTCAAAAGTTCTGTGGCTGGGCTGGTGTTTACGTTTCTCTTTTGGTAGCCTGCTGGGTACCTGCCTGCACCAGAGATTCTAGGATGGAAGGGTGAAGGCTCTGTGGAGGCTGCCTGAGACCTTGCCTTTCTTGTTTTCTGTTGGTTAGGTTAGAGATAACCAACCAGGAACAGCACCAGATCCCAGAGGCTATGCTGGCCTAGTGATGTAGAAGAGTCTTATTTAAAATACTAGACATTGGATTTACAGCCGACACCAGACGCCTTTCCTGTCAGCGTGGTAAGACGCCTGACGGAAGCACCCTAAGAGAGAAGGGATCCGTTTGGCTTGAGGTTTGAAGGTGTAGTCCAGGATGGCGGTAGAGCAGGGCACCAGGCATGTGCGGCCACTGGTCACATTTCGCCTGTAATAGAGTCAGGACGCAGAGAGAGACCAATGCTGGTTCTCCACTGGCTTTCTCCTTTTGCTTCTGTTGAGGACCCCAGATGTCACCATCTGAATTCTCTGTGAGTCTTTCTGCCTCAGTTAAACCTCTTTTGGGAACACACTCCTAGGCGTTTGTTTCCTAGGTGTTTCTGAATGGTGTCAAATTGAAAATCAAGGTCAGTCTCCTAGGGAGATCTGTGAGCCGTTCCTGCCCACCCAGACCCTTCCTCTGTATGCAACCTCTCCAGGTCTATGGATTGCATAGCTCGGTTATCATTTACTTAACGGCTAATGATAGATTTTATGGGTGGACCTGGGGAGGGTGAGAATGGCGACAGGAGGGTTATGTAGGGAGGGGCTGGAGAGAGACAGGGTTGAGGAAGGGAAGTCACGGAGAGAGAGCTGGAATTGAGGGGCATTTGAGGGATTATACAGAACCCTAGTGCAGTGGAAACCTCCTCAAGTACATGAAGGATGATGATCCTAAACGAGGTCTCCTGATAAGGGGGAAAGGGGTACAGCTGTCACCAAATGAGGCTCCCAGCAACCGGACTGGGATGCACTCAGTTGAGTTGTTTGTTGGTCAAGCGGGGTCTTATGGAAATCTTCAAACAACCCAAACTGTTGCTAAGACAATGGGGTTGTTCTCTGAAAACAGACTGTGTGTGTGTGTGGGGGGGGGTGTTGCGGTGTGTACATTGTGGAGGACAGTACCACGGCATTCATTGAACATGGAGAAGTCTAGCTGGTGCCCCCACAGAGCCTTCACCCTTCCATCCTAGCGCCTCTGGTGTGGGCAGGTACCCCGCAGGCTACCAAAAGAGAAACGTAAACACCAGCCCAGCCACAGAACTTTTGACCGACAGCCTCCCCCACCTGCAAGATACACTGGGGAAATGATGGCACAGGACTTTTGGGAGCAGCAGATCCGTATCTGATCTGACTGAAGACCCGCTCCCCCGGACGTCGGTGAAAAGCCCGGGAATGTGAAAAGGTGTGTGCCTAGCCTACACACACACACCCCGGGGAAACTGGACCGGGCAACTGCTTTACACGAGGGTTAACCTTTAACAGTTGCCTCGTGACCCCTTTGCCACACATTTCTCTCAGCTGCCAGCAAAGCAGCTGAGTCACGGTAGCCACGGGCTTTGCAAACACCTGTAATCAAGAGTTGTGTAGATCCTGGAACGCTCTGTGACTCAAGGCCCAAACTCCAGATTGGAAAAAAAATTCCCTCTGACTTTCCTCAAGGCCTAACCCTCAAGACTGTAAAACTCCTCTAAGTCCCCAGCTGACATATGGGTTTTTTTTTGTTGTTTTTTTGTTTTTGTTTTTTGGTTTTTTTTTTGTTTTTGTTTTTGCCATAAAAAGAGGTGTGTGGCGTCATGGTCACAGTGTCAGAACCCAACTCTCGTCTGTAGCCCTAGCTAGCTAGAAGCTTTGGTACCCCATGGTGACGGGATAAAGTTTGCTTCTGGTTAATTTACTTCAGTGGTCTGGCCCCCGTTATTTGTGCAACCCCAAGACCCAGCATTTTGGGGGGTCATCTGGCATTGTGCAATTCACCCCGCCTCTGTCAACTTTATTCTACTGGTTCTGGCGCATCAGTCGGTTTTTCTCTGGCTCCCGTATCTGGTGTCTGGACATACTGGGACTCAGCAGAGTGCAAAGGGAGCCGCTGTTGACCTCTGAGACAGAGGGATCCGAGGGATGCCTCGACCCCTGTTCTGGCCATTACCTCATTCGTTTGCGGCCATTACGTCATTCATTTGCGGCCCTTCCAGACTGGTTCAGGACCACGTGGCCCATCGTGTGTCCCCCCCCCCCCCACTTTTGTTTACCTGTTGTCTGGTGTAGTGTTGATCTACTTGGCTTATGAATTAATTCCCACCATGAGCCAAGCTTCCTCTAAGCCTAAGCCACCCCTCTCCCCCTCCGCCCCCCGCCTCGTGGACCTTGTTTTTTCTCGTTTTCATGACTTCAGGGATGCAGCAGCAGAATTCACGGTCTTTTTGCTCAGTAGGGTAGCCAGCTTTTGATTCCAATGGCCTCCTGAAAGTGTTTTTGCTCCTGAGGTCTAAGACATTGCTTTTAGCCACCCAGGCTATCCATACCAGGCCCCCTACGTTATGGCCTGAGGCTACCTCCTGGTGAACACCCTCACCCCCTTCCAGGCTAAAACCGCTTATTCTTTCTAACATTCTTCCCTTCTCACAGAGGAAATTGAAAGGAAAGCCTAGCGGGTCAGTGCTCCTGCAGTCTGCCTCCTGCTCCCAAGCCTGAGCTGGATAACCGCCCCCCGCCCCTGTAACCCCCTGTCCTGTAGATACGTGTGGAACTCCTCTCCGGTGGGAAATCGTGCGTTACGGCTGCTAACCCGCCCTACACCTCGCCTTCGGTCCCAGAGCCTCGCCTCCTCCCCTCCCTCCTGCCGTTCACTCCCTGGCCCAGCCTGGCCGATACTCGGTCTGGAAAAGCCCGGGTCTCTATTGCTCTTCCCCTCCGCGCCATGGTGCCACCCAGAGTGGGCAGCAACCCTCACCTAGCTTATTGCTACCAGTGGCTCGTGCAACCGGAAGCCCCAGCTGCCTCTTTTACAAGCGCCAATTGCTCTTCTCGGTAACTGTTTTGTCTACCCATGAGCCCACTTGGGATGGTTGCCAATAGCTCCTCCAGGTTCTGTTTACGACCGAGGAGAGAGACAGCATCTGGCAGGAATGCTGCAAGTTGGTCCCCCCCCCTGGGCAAGATGGGATGCCCCACAGAAGATGAGATAACACTCAACACTCCCCTGCCTGAGGACGGAAGGGACTCCAGCACAGCTGACGGTAGCCAGCGGCTAAAAGTCTATCTCCAAGCGACTGCTGGACAGCCTGCAAATTTGGCTAAGGTGGGTCAGGTGGTACAGGGAATAGATAATCCCTGGGTGCTCTTACTGAACGCCTGATGGATGCCGGCTGTACCTCACGCCACTGGATCCTGAGCTAGCAGAGAACCAGAGGGTGATGAATCTGGCTCCTCGTTAACCAAGCTGCTCCAGGTATTAAAAAGGAAACTTCAGCGGCTCGATGGATTTGAAGGTTAAAAAAAATCTATCTGAATTAGTAGCTATAGCCACCAGAGTTTATAACAACAGAGAGGCGCCCAAAGATAGTCAAATTCCGGGGGTTGGCTAAGGTCTTATTGGCAACAGACAGGAGCCCGGGTCCACTGAACTCAGGGACACCGCCAACTGTCCCAAATACGGGCAGAGAGATAATGAGAACCCTGAGTGCCCCCATCCCAAAAAGAGTCAGTGTGCATACTGTAAGGGAATGGGCCACCGGAAGAGGGAATGTCCCCAGAGAAAAAAAGGACAAAAAGGGCCTTAAAATGGCTAAGAGATCCTCAGACTGGCAGGCCTCAATGACTGACGGGGGGAGGGCCGGAAGCCTCCCCTCAAGCCTCCCCTCAAGCCTCCCCTCAAGCCTCCCCTCAAGCCTCCCCTCAAGCCCTGGGTAACCACACAGGTGAAGGGACCAACAGTTGACTTCCCAGGACACACTAAAGCTCAACATTCCATGTTAAGAAACCCCACTGGGGCCTCCATCAGACAAACAAATACGGGTTCAAAGGGCTCTGCAGGGACAACGCTACATCCATGGACCACAAAATGAACTATGAGCTTGTGAAGGATAAACAGTTGCAGATTCCTTCATGGTTGTCCCTGAATGGCCCTACCCCCTCTTGAGAAGAGTCTTATTGACCAAGATGAAATTCCAAAGTCATTTCACTGGGAAGAGGGTGATGATCTACCCACGATCTGAAGTCTATGCCTAATGTCTGGACCTAATAAGAATAAGAAGAGTACAGGTTTTTCCAACAGATATTTACTTTAGACGTTCTTCATCTGGACTGAGACTCAAGAAGGGGCTTTAAAACCATGTAGGAAGCACCGATAGAGGTCCCCACCTTAGCTGTGCCAGACATAAACAAACCGTTAATGATTGTATCCCAACAATCCATCCCTGGGGTATGGGCAGAGACCAACTCCCGCCAGGGCTGGCAATTCAGCAGCTCCCAGACTTAGTTACCTTAAAAGCAATATCCAACTGATCTGGGTAAGGCCCCCATGACTCCAGAAGCCAAACTGGGCATCACTAAGCGTATCCACTGGCTCCTGGAGAATGGAACTCTAGTGCCTTGCCAGTCTCCATGGAAACCCCACTTATGTCAGTCCAAAAGCCAGGGACCAATGATTATTTGCCAGGGCAGGATGTTAGGGAAGTTAACAAATGGGTTGAAAATATCCATCCAATTATCTCCAATCCCTATGTCCTTCTGAGTTCCCTCCCTCCAGAGCTCCAAATTTCCTCAGTTCTAGGCCTTAGAGATGCCTTCTTCAGCCTCACACTGCCAGTCTTTGCCTTCGAGAACCATGACCCAGACTGGGGTTCGGTGAGCACCTTGCCTGAACCTGCCTACCCCAATGATTAAAAAAAAAAACCCAACCATCTTTGCAAAGGCCCTCTATTGAGACTTGAAGGAAGACCAAGTCTCACACCCTGAGGTAAGCCTCCTTCAATAGGTGGATGACCTCTTAATTCCAAGGACCAGGACTCTTGCTTACAGACAACTAGATACTTAGCTCGAGCCTTAGATCATCTGGGACACAAGGTGTCAGCTAAAAAGGCCCAGATCTGCATCTTGGAAGATGGGATACATTCTAAAAGAATGTAAGATACAGCTACCACGTGCCTGGAAACAGACTACCCTAGATGTCCCATCCCTTGAGATCTGAAAGCAAATCTGAGAATTTCCAGGCTCAGTAGGAAAATTCTGCCAAACTCTGGATTCAAAGATTCCCTGAAATGGCCTCTATGAGGCTACTTGTGGGTCTGAGGCGCTTCTTCTGGACTGGGGTCCCTTCAAGAAGGGACCTTTAGAACCATAACGGAAGCACTGATAGAGGTCCCCGCCTTAGCTCTGCCAGACACAAGTCATTCCAACTATTCACAGGTGAGAGAGTGTGGGTAGCTAAGGGGGCCTTGATTCAGCACCTTGAACTCCAGGAGCAGCCCGTGGCTTCTTTATTCAAGCGATTGGATCCGTGGCCTCTGGGCGACCCAGATGCCTCTGTATCATCACAGCTACAGCCTTCTTGCTCAAAGATGCTGACAAATTGACTCTAGGGCAACATCTAACCATGACTACTCCCCACTCAGTAGAGGGGATTCTCAAAAATCCCCCTGATCAGTGGATGACCAAATGCCCGGTTGACACGCTGCCAAGGTGCCCCTCACCCCGCTCCCTTTAGGCCCCTCCTGCTCCCTTTAGGCTCCTCCCAAGCGCTTGTCTCAACCCAGCAACCCTGCTGCCTAACCCAGATTCCGACATCACCCATGACTGCACAGAGATACTGCAGAAGTACATGGAATCCAACCAGACTCGACTGACATCCCCTGATGAGATCCAGGCCACACATACTTCACAGATGGCAGAAGCTTCATTCGGGAAGGAACCAGGTATGCGGAGGCGGCAACAGCAACGCCCTCAGAGACTGTCCGGCCCGCAGCCTCACCCTCTGTCACCTCAGCACAAAAAGCTGGACTGGCAGCCCTAAACAAGGCCCTACAATTAGGAAAAGACTCAACTACCAGTGTTCACGTGGACAGCCACTAAGCTTTCCTCACAGCCATGTCCACAGGGCCATCTGCAGAGAAAGAGGCGTACTAACCTCTGAAGGAAAGATTACTGAAAATAAGCAAGAGGTCTTATCGTCTGCCCTCTGGCCATCGTCCATTGCCCAGGACACCCGGGAGGAAACTCTTATGAAGCCCAAGGCGACAGAAGAGCAATCAGGCAGCCGAGGAGGCTGTACTGGCTGCCGCCGCTTTACCGATAACAGTACCAGACCCTGGGCTGCTGGAGATGCTGGAATATTCTGCAAGACGATGAAGGTGACCTAGCGCCTGGGGTTTAAAAAAAAAAAGGGATGGAGTCACCCTGCAGATGAAGGACTCATCCTGCCAACTGGATCAGCTGGCTCCCTGATCAGCCGTATCCCCAGTGGGGCGCATTTAGGCCAGAGAGAATTAAAAGAACTGCTGGGACACTCGAAATTCAAAGTTTTCAACATTAACCAATCGGTGGAGGGCTGTGTGACTCAGGGACATCTTTTCCAGGCTACTGACCCAATCAAGAAAGAGCCCTCTCAAAGCAAGAGGGAAAGAGGAACCTTCCCTGGACTCCACCAGGATGTAGGCTTCACGGAGCTAAAACCAGGCAAATATGAGTATGGATACTTTTTCCGCCTGGGGAGAAGCCTTCTCCACTATGAAAGAGACTGCATTCACAGTAGTCAAGATTAGTGATGAGCTTGTCCCAAAGTATGGACTTCCTTCTGTAATAGGGTCAGACAGTGGACCAGCTTTCATCTCTAAGGTACACAAGATTTAGGTGTACCTTAGAGGGGGCTGATTGGAAATCACACAGTAATTCACCCCTTGGAGCTCAAGACAGAGAGACAGAATTAACTGGACCCTAAGAGAGACCTTAACTAAGTCAACCCTAGATCCTGCAGATGACCGGACAGCCCTTCTACTCTTTGCTCTGTTTCTGATAAGGAACACGCCCTATCCTTGTGGATTAACACCCTATGAAGTCATGCTTGGCAGGCCCCCTCTCCTGGTCCCAAGCTCCCTTCAGAAGTCATGGCCAAGATGTCTGGATACGTTTCTTAAGTCTGTCCAGACACTCCAGGCAGTCCAAGACAATATTTTTCCCACTCCCGAGAGACATCTATGAGCTTTCACCTGCCGGGCCATATAACCATAAACCGGAAGGCATCACAAAGAGCCCCTGGGGTCACGAGGGAAGGGACCACACACAGTGATCCTGACTGCTGTGTAAGCAGATGGGGTCAGGATGTTGCTGGTATTTCTTGTCCTACCAGGTCCTACAGCCACTTCTCAACCCCGGAAAAGCACACAAAGACCTACGTTAATTGTTAACCTGTTGGCCAACATCTGGGGCTTTGTATTGGCTAGCTCCGTCTTAATGGTAACCCATACCTACCAAACTATGTGTTTCTACATGGCCTGCCTTATCTTACCAGAGGATGCCTGTCGCGTCCTATCCTCCTGGTCTCTACATGGCATACTCTCGTGGTCCATCTCTGCCTACCTTTTCCAGAATTCTCCTCGTCTCCTAGTCCCACCCATCTCCCTGTCTCTATTGGCTATTGGCCAAACAGTGTTTTATTCATCAACCAATAAGAGAAACATATATGCAAGAAGGGCATGCCCTGTGTCACGTGGATTTGCTACATTCATCTCGAGCCCGCTCCTGACTGAAGATCAGACAACTTGGACACCTGGCGGAGAGCCTTCACACACCCCACGACCCGCTAAAGATAAAACTAAACACTCTCAAGCTTTCATGACTCTTCTGATACACTCATGTCTGGTTTCTAGAACTCTTGGGAACCTCCCAATATCCTCTCTGGTTACTTTTATTTGGAGGCTCACAGACTTCTGGACGGGGGGGGGGGGGGGCTAATATCTGGTGTTCCAGGCAGATTTGGACAGACTTGTGCCATCTAGTGCCAGACCTGATATTCAGTCGGGCACCTGAGAGACCTGGTCATAGGGGAAGCCTCCAGCTCGGTTCCCAGCCTAGGAGAGCACCTGAGTTGCTAGCCTTAGCTAA